ATCTCGTATTTCTTTAGTATGAGGATACTGGTAGCTGTTTTTATTAGCTCATTTTTGCAGAACAACTACAGCTTTGCTTGAACCACATTTGGGATCTATATCCTCCTGTGATACTGGTTTTAGTCCAGATAGATCTATCACTTGCTAAATTTTTTAGTTGCTTTATTTTCTGTTTGCTCTCTCTCTCTCCTTCTAGCTTTACTTTACAATCTTTGACAAGACTAAATCTTTGTAAACTACTTTAACATTCTTCTACTCGTTTTGAAAAATTATTTTTTAAAATATAAAATGTAATAATTAAATATTTTTTAGTTTTTTACCTATTCTCTTATTAGTTTTGTGTCTATAATTAAATTTTCTCTCAGACTCATTATTCTACACTGATGTACCCTCTCCTATTGTTTTTTTCTTTACTGCATGGCTTGCCAGACGTATTTGGTGCTAATTTTAGCCTCTTCTCACACTTGACTCTGTGTTCAAGCCCTCATTAATTTTATTCAATCTGTTTAATTTATCATTGATTTCAACCTTTAAGGTCGTATTTAAAAAAAAATTAAATGATTAAATTACATAATAATCTTTATACTTGTCTAATAGTGTCTGTGCTAGTCTATCAGCTCTTTTTGTATCAACGTGTTTAATTATTTCTAAAAACAAACCAAAATCTTCTCCATCCTCTTTAATAGATTCCTTAAGTAAACTAAGTAGCTTGTCCATTCTTTGATCAGCAGTTAGTACAGTGCTGGTGTCAATAATCTGATCTTTTTCAACATGACTTATTACCCTGTTCTCAACCAGCCTGTCTACCAATGGATACAAACCAACCTTTTCCTTTATCATTCCAGTATATTCTGTCATGACTCTATAAGCAATATCAGATCTAAATGTACCTATTAATGATACAAATTAGTGATTATGTGTCTCTACATCAATATCAATCATACCTTCTTCATTTCTTGAGCTATTACTTTCTGCTACATACAAATAAATAATGAGTATATAAGGGTGGGCATTCATGATTATACTGGTATTCAGTAACAATCATCAAATAAAAGTATATCATTTCTTATTCTATAATTGTTAATGTGAGCAGTACATAAAATAGACAAGTGGTAATATAAAAGGACCACTACCACTACTAAACCATACAAATTTACTTAAACTATGCTGCTCAGTATTCTTTTGGTAATTTTCATAGGAAAAATTGTCAATCACTAAATTTAAAATTTATGCAACCTTTTTTGTAAAGTGC